CTGTGAACTTTTCCTTCATGTAGATGACTGTATGATTTTGTTTCTCTTCTTATCCATTCTTATCTAAATTGTTCACGTCAAAAAAATAATGGAATTCAATATATTCGCGACACCACCATTTTTGTTGTTAAATTCTCAGAAACTCTTAAAATACAATTCAAATAAGAAAAATCATCGTCGCATATCACAGGACGCCTCAAGTCACTGGACGAATTTTTCAATGAACCCATATCAAACTGAATAGTTTTTTCTTTACATTACGATTGCTTTTTTTGCTGTTGAATAACGTTTTAATGGGGCGATTTATTAAATAATAATAATAATAGAAGCAGCTTTAGGACGTTACAATACAAATTCATGGGAATATTTAAATCGAGAGGGGTAAGCAAAAAAGTGAAGCGTACTTTTTTCGTTTTTTTTTGCTCTTCACTCTTTTGACGAAAATCTCTAGCAAATTGAAAGAATTCTTTGAAATATTTTAAGGGGTAACACTTTGTCGGGGGGTGTAATCGGACCCCTCGGACCCCTACTGAGGACGTATAATACATGTTATAACACACAATATTTTCTATAATTTTAAATGAAAACAGGCTTAGGACCTCGAAGTACATGACGACGTTGAAAACGTGTCATATCAGTTACATGTGTATATCAATAGTGTAGCTACTCATAACTTGTTGCTGAGCAAAGTAATTCAAGCAAAAAAAATGTGGATTTGAATATCACTTTCCCTTCAATGCGATTCATTGTTTTTCCATGAAAGCTCAAGCTTCGCGTGATCCCATATAAAACTTCGGGACTCTATACTTCAACATTCATGAAAAAAAATTGTTTGGTATCAACGCACACAAATAACAAACAATTTTTGTGTTAACATTGGAATAATTCAAATTGTATACACATTTCACAAATAAACGAAGCATTCGAACTGACTCAATTGAAATGTTTTCAACGAAAATGAGACGAAAACTATTTCAATATTATAGACATTAGTTTTGTAAAATCTTCATTTCCTTGAATTTGCAGTAACTTGAAAATGTACAGACGAGTCAAATCGGCATATGAAGAGCTGTGCGAGAAGAACATAAATACAGATGGTGAAGAATTTAATACAATGATTGGCATATGTCGCATATGACACTACTGAGACAAAATGATTGAACATGTTCTAAGTTGATAGAAGTGTTAATACCCGTTCAACATCCTGAAATGTAGACTTCTCATTTTCCAATCAAACTTATAACGATAAAATACGTGACAGACAATTTATGTTAATAATTGTGTCAGATCAAATTCTCCTTTTAACGTTTCGAAAGCATGCAACAAAATTGTGTTTCCATGTGAACGAGCTTGTGAGAAATAGTTCTCGTCGAGTGAATATATGGTAATTGAAAATCGGATATTTTTCTCATGGAAATATACTACAATGGAATGCGCTTTGGAGTGATTTTCAAATCAAGGGAATTTCTATTCAAGTACCAAATTTTTCGCCACTTTACCACAAAAATAAATTGGATAAGTTATGCGATTTGGTGATTTTTATGGAAAGAGCAACAAACAAATTTATTTGAAAATAATTAGTTTAGCCAACTTATACAGGGTCTCTCATATATCCGGCTCACTATGAAGGAGTGAAAATTTCTAAAAACCCTTCGAAAAATCGACTTTGTAAGATTTGAGGGGTCAATTTTACACTTTTTTGGTCCAAAATTTGTGAAAAAACGTGGATGAGAAAAATATCGATTCTAAGGTAATTTTTCATGCTGATTCCGAAGTTCGGGGTTTCAGGTCAAAAAACCCCTTAAGGGGTGGGGAGACTTGGAGGGCAGGGGTCCTAAAAAATTTCTCTCATCATTCTGAACAACTTTGTAGTACATTATTTTTTGATCGGATGAAGTTTTGCAAAATTGGAGGCACCCCCATCCCCCCTGAAGAACAATTCTGCTCAGATAGAAATTTTCAATTTTTCACCCCCAACATACCCTCAAAGGGTTTTTAGAAATTTTCACTCCTTCATAGTGAGCCTGATGTATGAGACACCCTGTATATACAAACAGAAACAGCTTCAAATCGAAAAGATATGAATTGAAAATGAAATAATTATTCTATTATTCAAAAAATGTCCTCAATATCCTTATAATAAAATTTGAATTTCCATAAAATTCAAAGTGACTCTTTTTATTAGTTCACCTGAATGAATCTCCGTATCAAATATTCATATAAAATCTAGTTTAATCATATTTCACATTGAACCGTACGATATAACAATGCGTAGATCGACACGTATACGAAGTGGCTTTTTATTTGAAATAATAAGGAATATTTTAATTAATTCGTGTGCCACTGTTCATAAATAATTGAATGCGAATTTCAATATCTTTTCATACGCAAATTTTTAATGAACACATTTGGTGAGTTCAGAGGACATAAAATGGATTAAAGCATAATTCATATTCAGTGAATAAGAATAAAGCGAATGTCTTCTATATTTAAACTTGAAAAAAAACAACATGTCGTTTATTATTTACATGCGTGACTTTGGAAGTTTTTATGAACAGATTCGTGTATCAGCTTACTGAAAATGAAGTATTTAATATGAAAAAAATCGTTTCACTTTCATGAATCTATGAAGTAATAATCACAATTACGGCATTTCCATGTTTATGTATTTAAATCTTACTTCTCTGAAAAAACAAGTCATTATAAATGGAATAAGTATTCATCCGAGTAATATCAGTGGGAATCATAGCTTCTTGAGTTGGCGATCCAAGGGGGGTAATTTCAAAATTTTCCAAAAATGTAAAGGGGTAACTTTTTCGATTTGGTCTCGCACAAATTTAAAAATGCATTTTATTTTTGAATAGTTCAGTCTCAGAGCATTTGTCTCAAAAAGCCCTGCAGAAGGCAAAACTCACAAGTTGCCGTGCGGTAGTAGAAAGAACTGTGTGTATGCGTCAACATGTTTGCCGTCCGCACTCACTTCGATCGTGAGTTACGGTGTCTTGCGGGAATATCTTCCATATATAGTGCACCGATATAGTATAGATATCGACACTATTTAGTGCTATTTCTATATGTTATGGACACACTGCAAAATTTCAATTTATGTATTATAATCAGTGAATAGATTGGGCTACAGCTACTCAGAGAAATTGAACAGTGTAAACACAAATGTTTGTTGTGTATTTCGCCCATTTACACTGACGTGAAGTTTTTTCAATCTAAACTTATGTTTATTTGAACACACAACAAAGACGTCTGAATGAACCGTCGCACATTTTCATACACAAAAACAACACTTTAATCATTTCGTTCTTCGCTTGAAACTTAATTATATCACTTCTTTTGGCTCTTTCAATATGCAAAATCGATTAAATGATGAAAAACAAATAAAAATTATCGCAAATATGAGCGTGAGATACGGATTTTTTTATGTTTTTACAACACACCGGTAAACTTTTTTTAGAGCAAAATATCACTATAAATCACATCAATTTCAAATCAAATTATATTTTAAATCTTTCATTGAATATTTAACAATAAAATAAAAATATGAAAAAAAATTTATCATTTGAAAAAAATAGTTTTTTTTACGAAAAATCATTTTACACTGAACTTACAAAATCAAAGTGTAAAATGAAGATTTGCACTGACGTTATACACACACAGTGTAAAATGTCGAATTCACAGCATTTTTGTTGTAGTGTGGGTGAAACGTCTGTGTAAATGGGCGAAATACACAACAAACATTTGTGTTTACACTGTTCAATTTCTATGAGTATAGCAGTGCTATCTTCACAGCTCCTATTCATAGGTGCTATTTGTGAAAAACGCATATGGACAGCGGCTTTATGATACAATTCCGAACGAAATGTTCAAAATATAAATAGAACAATAGACTTATGGATTTTAGCTTTTTTTTGCATAAACAAACAATAGGTCTATTGTCCGGAATTTTGTCATAAAATCGCTGTCTGTATGCGTTGTAGCACTGCTATAGCTGTAGCCCAATCTATTCACTAGTTATAATGTAAACTACTGAATAGACGCTGAATACAGTATTGACCTATCGTGTAACTGTAGATGGCCCTAACTCTGGTTGAAATGCATACGAATGTTTCAGAATAAAATTTTCTGTTGTTAGTTGACTCAAAATTAATGGTGTTTTAATATGATGTTTTCTGTTTATTTGCTGGAGTCATAGTTTTTGTTTCAATTTTCAAACGGACACAAAAATTGCAAAAAGATAACCAAAAAATTTGCAGATAACTCGACTACACTGAGTATTTTGATAGAAAAAACATAACAAAATAGAAGTAGTTCTTACTTTTTAATGAATGTAAAACTGAATATCAATTTAATTCGTCCATCCAATTATTTATTTTGCTGCAGAATTCAAACCGTTCCTCGCTAATGATTCAATATTGTTTCAAGCATATTGAGGTACTAATGAAGATAAGATGCTCAATTTTCCAGAAATGCAGCATTCATGTCCTTTAAATACTTACCATATTACCATAGATATTATTGACTTTATAATTGCAATTAATTTATGATTCAAAAGGGTTCAAAATGTAACAAGCAAATACTTGAAAATTAATTGATGTTTTTCTTCATAGATAAGTAAACAAGTTATGGAACTGATAAGAATTTAGAGGGATTTAAATACTTTTGAATTCAGTACATCGGTCGAACTTTTTGAAATAAATGATAACAATTCGTTGATAAAATGATAACAATCGCTAGCTGATTACAACAATAAATAGGTCCATTGAAATGAATGTTGTTATTGTATTTTGGAAAATTACAATAAAATAAAGTTGTTGAAACGTCGAAGTTAGTTCTTTTGATGCTTTTTGAAGTTCAAAAAGTTAGTGTTCAAATTTCAAGCAAATAAAAAACACAACCTTATTATTTACTCGAACTATATAAATTTTATTACTCCATAAGAATATATATTCTAAAAAATGATGAAATTTATTTCACTTACAATCTTTCAGATAAACGTTGGCATTTCATACTTGTTGCGCAATATATGTAAACAGCTTGCAGCAAGGAAATGAATGCGCTTCTTTTAGATACTGACAGTAAATAAGATGAATTGACTTGAATATTAAAAATGACGACGACAGCTGGAGTACACAAAACGTTGAAGTTACCTGAATTCAACATATTGACACTTGTTGTATTTTATATTACGATTATTGAATGCAGGGTAATTTTGAGCAATTCTTTTTTCTTTAGACATCAAAAATTCACTATAAACAATTTCAGTTACAGGATATACCTCACGGTTCTTTAACAGGTAAAATTGAATGATGGAAGAAAAATGGTGCTCAATAACTAAAGTATATTTAATGGTTTCCTTCTAGATTTAAACGTAGAAACAATTGTTTTCGGAAAAGATGGATTGCAAGCGAATATTAGTTGGAAATCGGCCGATCTACAAGGTAAATCCGCTAGAATTTTCTATTTATAGCAAATACAATGATATTCTGAATGATATTATAGGCCGTAAATTGGACGTAGGCTTGATTCCTGTGGTGGATGAATATTGTACAAACCGTAAACCATGCCGTGAATACGGATTACTCTCGGTATGAACGACTTAACGTTGATAGTGTTGTAACATTAATCACATAATTATCTTGAAGCATGTTAATCATCGATGATATGACATATCATTTTCAATCTAAATATAGAATGTGACTGAGATACTGTTGCCAAAGAATCCATTGATAGAGCTTGAGCACCATGAGTGCTCCGTTATGGCGGGCTGTTCGTACGAAGTAAAAATCGAAACCGCAGATCTAACAATAAAACAAACGACGAATTATACCGTTCCTGGTAAATATCGGAAATTCTTATGTCGTTCGATCTATTCGAATTCAAAATAATTAATCAAAAGCGATTTTTTTTTTATCATTCTGTCACATGTGACATTTTAGATTGCGTGAGTGATGTATGCTCTTGTAAACATGAACATAAACTTCCCACAATGTTTCTTAACGCTACTGTCGATTCTCAAAATCTAAAGATTTATTGGAGAGTAAATGAAAGCTCGGAAAATGTATCGTTGAGCAGCGTTTTTATCAGGTAAAACTCTTTCGCATTGTTTTTTTTTTGTCTCAATTCAATTAATACAAAATGAAATCCCAATGCGTCTCTGGTAAATTAGTGTTCATTACCAGAGTAATCCATCGCTTCGTTGGGGCGGCCAAACGAAACAACTTGATGTTGACCACATACAATTGCAAAACACAACCAACAATACCGAAATCGATGATGGATATCATTACGTAGATTTGACCAAAGAAATGATAAATGCAACGGAATTCGGATTATTGGTTCGTGCTCATGTCGTTGATCATATTGGGTGTGAGGGCAAAGAAAGCAATGTCACATATAAGGGTAAGTGACTTTTTGCATTAAATATTCCAGACTGTAAGCTAGAGGCGGTCGGTTTCGAACTTTTACAGATTAAATAATGCTTTTGTGGATATAACTTAAACGTTTTGTTATTTAAAAGACATCGTCTTAAGATAATAACTTTACACAATACACATAGTAAATAACTTTTTCATGATATTTTATCCAAATGACTTGCAAAATAACTTTTTCGAAAAAAAAGCATAAACAATTTACATTAATTTCAAACGAAAACAGTACTGAAGTTCTTTCACTCGAAAATTCAATTATTCTTAATGTGTCGGGAGGAACACTTCTGCAAAAATATTTTATTTGCATTCGGCGCAATCGCATCTCATTATTTGTCTTCATTATGCTTTTCATTTTGTTTGGTATGTAAATTTAATTCCGGTTTGAAGACACTTTTCGTCATTGAAGAAAGACGTTCGACGGTTTTCCTTCGTTGAGCTTTCAATCTATCAGGAAATACAGTCAATGGAATCTCTCAATTTAGATGAGTGGACTATTTAAGCAGTGACCGGTTCGCGCATATTTCTATGCTTGCCTAAATACGCTAGGTAGCATAGATATCCCAAGCATAGCCGCAAACGCAACCGACGCATCGCCGTTCACTCTATATGAAAAATACACATATTCGTTTATGCAGACGACCGTGCGCATACAATATAGCTCGAATCGAATGGCGACGGGTGCGTTGCGGCTTGCGTCTCCGCTATGCTTAGCATAGCTATCAGGCATAGAAATATGCGCGAACCGGTCACTGTATTTAAGACGGATTTAATAAAAAAAGAAGTCAATATTCAGAGTTTCCACATCGAAACTGCAATCAATTGATGTCACAAAATTTAAATGTTCCAATGACAAATCCATCGAATTTATTCATGTCCCATTTGACGATATTCCCCGCAGTATATTTCTGTTTTTGAAGTTTGGAAAAGTTATCTGGAAAAGTTATCATGTTTTACGAAACTCCGGTCGAACTGCACTACGCCGATTTTTGTTAGCAAGAAACAAAATCAAGCAGTAAATCTTTGTTGTGATTTAAATAGTAACGCATGTATTTTATCTCTCTTACAGTTTTGCCAAACAGAAAACTCACAATAGTTTATGCTAGCAATAGTTATGTGGTAAGTGCTTCGAAGGGTAAATAATTTAAAATATGTTGATTAAATTATGTTTTAAAATTACAGAAATTATTCTTCATATTCTTTTCCGTTGTAATTGTGTTGTTGGTGATTGGATTCACTTTGACATACCGACACATACAGCATTTACTCCAGACCAAATCATTTGTGAAAAACTGGCGTGGAATCTATCAAAATGTACCAAATGTCGGGTGAGCAAAATTTTATTTTTGCATTTTTTCCAAACCTTTTTACATTCATATTTGGCAGGAAATGTGTGGGTGTATATTAATAAAATGTTTTCATTCGGAGAATTTCATTGGTAAAAGGGGCTGGTCTACCACATGCATTATGCCATTTAACATTGAGAATATAGACCTCTAGTATAGTCTATAGAAACGATTTACAAAAAAGCTTACATTAAGACATAATATCCTCTATTATTTGTTTTTGTTACTTTTTTAATGATCTGGTACACATTTTTACCATTCATAGTATACATACAGTTGTAATCAAAATAACCACAAAAAAGGTCATGGTTAAGTGCGTGTTGTTCCCACAAATTAAAATTCGTGAAAATATTCGCGTGTACAAAAAAAGTGACTGACTATTTTGGGACAAACTGACCGACTATTGACTGTAAAAACAAGCAACCTTAGTTAAATTTAGTTAATCGTTTGTTAACTTCAATCCTAGGGGTTTTTATCTCAATCAAAACACTGTGAATATTGCGTATATTTTGCGTATATTCTGCGAATATTCGCAAAATATTCGCAAAATACGTACATTCAATGCATGATTCGTAAAATATGCATAGCATATGTACCATCGAATAATATATATTCGCGACCAGATAAATTCCCCTAGCTTCAATCAATTAAAGTAAGCTATAGTTGACAATAATCATAGTCACTCGATAGTCAAAACGTCCCAAAATTTATGAATTTAGCTAACTATAGTCACTTACAGTCAAAAGTAACTAAGTCATTTTTTTTCCACTCGGGTTTACTTACAAGAAAATTATTTTGTGCAATCGTACCTTTACCTTTACCCTGTTATTCATAAACATGTGAATACTTTTTCAATATTTTGTGTAAATATTGTAAAATAACGATACTCGATATGAAATCAAATGCAAATAGAAAACTGTACTCCAGAATAATGTATGATAGAATAACTCAATATACATATATGATAAAACAACTGTTGACATTCTGCTTCAATCGTCGCTGTATCAACATTATGCAAGAAGACTCAATCACATGCATGTATTGTGTGCTTATATCAATATGTTCCTCATTCCATTTCATACAGATTCAGGGCAATCAAATTTCAAGAGAATTTCCTGTATGGCGAAGCGTTTCAGCATTGTGAAATTCCGCATTCAGCTTTAAAATTTAGTCACAACATTGGAAAGGGGAACTTCGGGAGTGTATATTTGGCTGTTGCTGACGGAATTGGGCCAGCAAATAATTCGGGCCTGGTAGCTGTAAAAAAGCTTAAAAGTATGATTTACTAATATTTATAATTATCTCATGGGATTTCAATGTTGACAAATCATGTTCCATGTTCTTGTACAATGTACATAAAAATACAGAAAATCATAACATTGAAGAAAAGGACGAATTTCTCGAGGAAATTGCAACGATGAAGAAAGTCTCACACCCAAATATAGTTGCTCTCATCGGATATTGTACAACAAAACAGCCAATGTTTATAGTGATGGAGTATGTGGGCTGTGGCGATTTGGTAAGTCTTATTCGATACAAATAATAACCATAAGAATGCTCGATTGATGGTTCTCTTTGGTTCACAGCTAAACTATTTGCGTAGGTTGCGTGAACAGCATGAATCGAAAATGTCTGCAATCAATCGTATGCTGTGTCAACAACGAAAACCAACAACAAATCGTCACATAACAAATAGTAGCACCAGCAGCACAATAAACTTATTGTCACAAAGCAGTAATGTCAATAAAAGTATTAAAACTTACACAAACTTATCAAAAGGGGGTTGCAACAGCAATCGCACATCGGTGTCAAGTTTAAATAACAATCCAATCACAGTAACCACATTAAATAAACTTGAAATGGAAGTAAATTATTTGGAGTTATGCCATTCATCGTAAGCTTCCTAATTTGTGGCTTCTCTTAATTCGCAATGAATGGAGTAATTATATTTTGTTCATTTTTTCCGCTATATATACAGAAGCAGTTACTCAGACGCATCATGTTCCACAAAACCGGAAAGCATCGCATCAACCAAACGAATTTCAGATACTGACAGTATGTTTTTTTATGTTTAATGTGTTGTTTGCTTCGTGTCTGAAATTTATAGCAAAAAAATATTACTTTTATAATCAAACAATTCATTATTTTTCTTTCTCCCTCTCTCTCTCTCTGTCCTTCTGTCAGATTACACAGTATTTCCCCAAGCTATATCACTTGAATGTGTGCTCGACCATAAGGAATTACATTGCTTTGCTGTTCAAATAGCTCGTGGTATGAGACACCTAGAAGAACGGCGTATTATTCATCGTGATTTGGCTGCACGCAACATACTCATTGATGAAAACAAACAGCTGAAAATTTCGGATTTTGGTTTGTCGAAGACAACTATCTATGTGGCGCAACGCACAAAAAAGGTATCATCTAAAAAAAATTAATCAAAAACTCATTCATATTTTGCAAACGATTGCAATTGTAAGAAGCACGAAATAACTCATTGGGGCATTCATCATTCACAGGTACCCATCCGATGGATGGCAATTGAGGCATTACGTGAGAGTGTTTATACCGACAAAAGTGATGTTTGGAGTTTTGGTGTAGTACTATGGGAAATTGGGACTTTAGGTAATGCTATAAAATCGTCCTTGGTTGTACAGCAAAATCATTTGCGGTTGCCATTGTTGATGGCAAACAACGACAAAACAAATGACAAAAGCATTTACGTTCGACTAGTTAAACACTTGATTTCATTTATCATTCCCCGATCTAAATTACATTTTGTGGCTTTTTATTTTGATCACAGGTGGAATCCCCTATGCAAATTTATCCAACGAACTGTTACTAAAATACTTGGTCGATGGGTATTGAAATTTATGATTTAAATTTACATAAAATTTGACTTTGTGCCACAAAATGTTTAAATTTCGAATTAAATCATTTTTTTAGATATCGCATGCCACGGCCGGAAATATGCTCAGAGCAACTGTACAAATTAATGCAGCAATGTTGGTCAGAAAGTCCTTTTAATCGGCCATCTTTCTCGGAAATTGTTCAACGATTGGAAAACACCGAAAGAGATGAACATATTTATGTAAATTTTGATGAAATCGCGCCAAACTACGTGTTTCCACCTACACGCGTTACTGAATCAGATAAAACGGACAAAACATCCGCTGATTAAAAAATAAATTTTCGCCAGCACATTGTTTGCTGAGTACATTTAAACAGGATATGAACACTGTGATATTTCCCAAAAGCGGCGGAACTAGCTGTGAATGATGATTATATTTTATTCCAGCTCTGTCGTTGAAGCAATTTGCAAACAAATAGCTGTGAATTCAAGCTGATTGGAATTGTGTACACTAGGATTTCAAGTGAATATTTTAAGGAAATGATCAATGGAATATATTTTTAAATACTTATAAACCTTAGACACTTAATTTTGCTTGTCTGTTTCAACCAAGGTTTCAACACACAGACATATCGAAGTTTGTTTAAATGGTTGTCACTCATTATTTGAAATTGCTGTGTATATTAGGCGAATACATTTTTATTGATAGCCAAGTTATCAAATGAAAAAAATGTTAGTGAAGAATCAATTGTATTTTGTGAGGGTACGTATGTTGGAGCATTTAAATGGATTTAAATTTTAATTTAATTCTAAATTTTTAATTATGAATGTCCAAAATGAAATCATTCGGTTTCAAATCAAAGTTGCTGTTTATTGATTACGGGTTTATTTTTCATTTTCAAATGAATGTCAATACTTGAGAAAAAATTATTCTTGGTGTTGATTTTTAGTAAAATTCATGTCTGTACCAATTTCGAATTTATAACTGTGAATTTAAAAAAAACGTATTAAAAAAATAAATGGAGCTTAAAAAAATATATATTTTTGTATCGTTTCACTTAAGAAAAATATTCTTTGTCAATATTTAAAAAAAATGGTCTGATAAAGAGATCTTCAGAGGGTATGTAAAAGCGAAGACTAGCGCGAAGATCTATAAAAAAGTTCCAATGGGATTTCATCGCAAAACTGTCAACATTCGATCAGAAGTCACTTTTTGGGATCAATTTGGCAGTATTAATTACCGCTGCAGAGTTTGATCCTTCCAATTCGTAATGAACACATTACATACTCGAATAAAGACATCTACTGTACAGAATTTGTTTAAGTTTGAATGTCCTCCAAATTTGATTTTCCAGATGTAAATATTATAAAAGTCGGTTCAGAAGAAGCATTTCTTGATAAAATTCAAAACATAAATTACGTTTGTGTACTTAAATTCATTTGAGAAAAGTACGCGTTGGATGAATGCTTGATTTTCGCGCGAACTCTGTATTCATATCTGGCAATACCGAATAGTATGTGTACTTAACGAACGTTATAAACACGCAATGATATGAAAACAATACGGCGGCATAGAAACACACAACAGTTGACGTGTATGTTTGTATGGGTGTGCATGTGTTTGGCTTACACGATTACTCATAAATCGAGTGAGAAGCGGTTCATTGTCATCATCAGTCGTTTGTTGTTCGCTGGCAAAACCGTATGTTTGTTTCTTAGTGTATCGTGTCTTTTCATTCTCTTTTTTTTTTTTGTCTTCAGACTACCAAGAAGAAAGAATAGAATTCTTTGTGACTTAGCGGAATACAATAAATTCCGAATTATTATTTAATTGACAATCAATGCCATTTGAAATTTTTAAAAGCCAATACATTGTTTAGTCTAATTGTGTTTTGTTTGCATGTAAATTATTGAAATGTTCGTTGAATTTGGCGAACATTCAAAATTGTTTAAATATTAAATTAATACATATTTACGTTGAGAGAGTGTATGTAATAAAAAGAAGGAAAGACAAAGAGTTGATATCGAATTTTTGTTTCTTGTTGTAACAATTGTCCAAGTGAAAGACGGTTTATAAATCATACGAAGCATATAGACAAGGGAAAAAAAGAAAAGAAATAGTACACATAACGATATTTTCAAGATTCCAATAAGATAATAATAACAAGAAGTTTAAGTTCAAGTTGAGTGTGGCATTTGACTTTGGTAAACGTGTTGTGTGCTACATAAAATAAAGAGTGAACCGTGCATGTTGATATATCTGCTTACAAATTAAAGTAAGAGACCAATTCTCTCTGCTTGGTGATCAGCATATATATACACCATACAAATGCTTATGCAAAAACATCGAACTGCAGAATGTCATGAAAACAGAATCGAACACACACTTAAGTAACCAAAGAAACGATTCGTCAAGCCTTTCATTACCTTTCATTCATATTTGCGAGAGAAAAAAAAACGAAAAATACTAAGCAAATTTTGTTTTTTGTTTTTTTTTCCAATTTCGTGCAGCTCACATAACTATTTGCGTACAAGCAGGCAGACACTGTAAATGCATAAAAATTTGATCGGTGGGCTTTATTTGCATATTGATTGAGTTCAGTCGATTCCGTGTCGCACGATCTGTAGTGTCAGTGACATTGGTGGCTTTCGAAATCATCGCACACACACGTACATATACTCAACCTAAATAAACTAATCTAAAAAACGCGCATCGAAAAAAATAGAAATCAATCTGAAGACCAGAAGTATTATAATTCGAATTTTAATCTTAAACAACATACATGTGAAAGAGATTTTATAACAAGCGAAGACTTAAAAGTTTCGACTTCATTATATTGCACAGAAGTGGGAAAAACAGCAAAAATGGCACAACAAATGGAAGTTGGAGTTCAAGATTTCGTTCTATTAGACGAAGTCACTTTGGAGAAATTTATGGAAAATCTGCATAAACGGTGAGTTTAAATAAATCAGCGTAATCGTTGAATGAATGGAATGAAAAACAAAAAACAAAAACAAAATACAAGATCTTGGCTCTTCTTCGTTCTATAAATATATAAGTGGATACTGATGCATCTCCTAGCTACGATTTGGATGAAAAATTTGTTAAAATGTGAACGAACTTCTCGGAAATGCTTTTCAAGCTGGTGGGTGTGACAAAAGTGATGTTTATTTTTATACTTGTGGAATAAAATACACATATACTGAAATATTTTTTTGTATGTTTTGATGAGCTTCATGTATTTCAAGTGGTAAATGGCAAAAAAAATTGATGTACATGTTTGTTCGGTAGGTGAAACCATCGTTTCGCTAAGGTATCGCGCAACAAGTGAATTGTAATTTTAGATATCTATCAATTTGAATGAAATCTACCGTGTTTGCATGGATTCTACTTCCCATTTTGTCCGTCTCTTATTCATTCATTCGACTCAAGTGTCTTTCTTCGAATAATGGTTAAATTCCTAAACAATTTAATTAAAAGTATTTTTGCGGTTGATGTGTCATGTTCATCGTTCGGAAGTGTTGATGAACAATGAAGTGTATAATTGATGATATCACATTATTATTACTGCTACAATTTGTTTTTCTTCTTCATTTCTTTGCTCACACCGTGATATGGTGAGCGTTCAATTGAAACGAGCTCCAGAAGTATTCAGTGAAACTGAAAAATTCACTTGCGTTTCGCAGAAACACGCAACCAACCAAACAACTCGCCAACCACGCTACAATTCGCACATAATCCCACTGACCATAAATTTCATTTTCAAATGGTTCACTTGGTTAATAAGTCCATTCAGATTTGAATTCAAAACAACTCAAGTTATTATAAACAACACGCCGCTACCGATTACTATTACCAGACTGTGTAAACGTTTGAATGAGAGGAAAAAATTGTTGAACAGAATTATATTACCAACGCTAAACGCGTTTAACGTACATTTATAGATTCGTTAATATTAATCAAAACAAAAACAATTTTTAAGCAAACAAATCAATATTTAAACAAATACAGATTCAACCTTAACCTCATTGAAATTCCAAATATGAACACATTTGTCGTTTTACAAATCTTACCTTTAATTCACACACGATTCAACGATTCGCATTTAATGTGAAACAAAAACATATTCCCATTGAAATTAAGAAAAACAAAATAGAACATTATCAAAATGATTATTAGTTTCAGCTGTTGGAATGAGTGATACTTACTTATTCGGTATATTATTAATAGCAGCACAACCATAATCGGCACACTCATTTGCTAATAAACCGTCTCGAATTTGGCTCGAAAATATATTCACAGCGTGAGACAGAGAGAAAGAGAGACAAGATAAGAAAAAAAATGGGCAACATTTCAAACGGCACAGAATGTGTGTGTGAAAATACCAAATGATTTGCGGAACAAAAAGAGATGACCATAGAAGCGCACAGGCAAATGTACAAAACAAAGGAAACATAAAAAAAATTTACTGTAACATTTGCAATTAACACAATAGAATGTTTAGCACATTGAAGTGAGAACTGATTAAATAAAAACAAGATCCGTCGTATTGTGTTGTTAACCACTTCTATTGTGTTTAGAAAGTGTTACAAAATATCGTAAAATAGAGACGAAACGCTCACAATGAAATATGCATATTTCTGCATATGAAAAGTAGACAGAGAGAGAGAGAGAAAAACGCATGGATTTTTATGCCGTTGACATAATTGTTGATGATTAGAGTCATGTATCAAAATTATTGATAACAACGGAAGAGACTATCGCATTCTGTATGTCAAAAATATGTATGGATATATATTTATATTTACCAGACTGAAAATTACATTCACCAATAGCCGAGAGTTCATTTTATTCTAAAGCTAGAAGTATTTTATCTTTCTCGAGTTAATCACAACGTCTGATATTGTCTTTCGACTTAAATGTGCTATTTTTTTTTTGAAATGGTTGTCATAATAAATCCTTTGAATGAGTCACACCATTTTGGTGGCACTGTGATCTCAGCTCATATGATCTCATAGTCGGAGTTGCTGTATATATTCGAACGTAACGCTCTGTATACTGTGTGCTGCGTATATGTATTGTTCAAAACCAGTTTTCCACATGTAATTATTCCCGAAACTGACTGTGTTTATCTATTTTGGCCAGTTTCTATGTTGAACTGGATGTTCGCTTTTTCCCTCTCGTTTCCAGCAAGTTTACGAGTTAATCGAGGCTCGTTTGTCCTACATTTCGAATACATTTTATATTTAGCTTCTTATTGGCAGCGATTAGGAGCCATATTATCCGACGGGATGACTCATCAACACATACACATAATTTTTCAGAACGCGTATAAGTCCCAATGTGTTTAGCCAAAGTTGTTGACAATACGTGTCTAATCGATTTGCACTAAAAAAGAACTCCCAATTCATATCGTATAGCTTCCACTTGGCAATGGTATCTAATCGGTTCGACTGATTATCAGTTTAATTGCTTAATTTCGACTTTTTATATGGAACAACACCGTCCAACAAACTCGGTTTTTGGAATATTCCAAATCAAATATTGATATTGTATTTGAACAATACGTATTTTTCAGGAATCGCCTGAAATTCAACATTTTGTGGTTGATTATGATTTTTCGAGACAATGATTTTTCAATAACACTTTCACTCTACGCATAATTTGATTTAAAAAAAAAAATGAATAATTTTTTTAATATTTTCATTTCAAGTCACGTTTAATGCGATAAACAGTTTTTGTCGAATTGTCGGTATAAAAATCAATATGCAATGAAGAACACAAAGCAGAAGGTTGTTTTCAAATTTCCCTGTTTATTGTTTCAATTCAATATAATGCCATCAATTTATTATTTGTTTGCCATTTGATACTTTGAGCTTGCATGTTTCGCAGCTAAGTGATTACATCATCGAATGTACTCAATATTCGTGTCATGTAAAATTCATTCTGCCTTCAACGTCTTTACACAATGCCAATACACAACTGGAATTTATGCGGTTTTTTTGTATTGAAGCGTGTTGGGCTCACTTTCTCAATGCAATCACTCTTGAAGAGATAACATTGCTTGATTTATCGTTCACATTTAAAAGTAAAAAAAAAAAAAAAAAAATACTTAATAAATAACAACAATTTCTCGTTTGAATGGTGACTAACGTGGTGCATCATTGGTTAAATGACGTGATGTCATGGATGTATTTAAATTTTTTATAAATAAAATCTCTTGACAATTTGCAGGTTTCAAGCGGGCAAAATATATACGTATATTGGAGAAGTATGCGTTTCTGTGAATCCATACCGTCAAATGAATATCTATGGCAATGACTATGTCAACAAGTACAAAGGTATAAAAAAAGATTCATAAAGGAAATTTAATCGCATGAATCATACGCACAGTGTTTAATGGGCATTTTAAATGGTTTTTTTTTTATTTTGTAATTTGCAGGTCGTGAACTCTTTGAGAATACTCCCCATATATTTGCCGTGGCCGATGCAGCATATCGAACGTTGAAGCAACGTAATCGCGATACATGCATCATGATAAGCGGTGAAAGTGGCGCGGGAAAAACCGAAGCCTCAAAAATTATTATGAAATATATAGCTGCGGTCACCAATACGGTAGGACACAACGAAATTGAACGAGTCAAGAACGTTCTTATACAGAGTAATGCGATACTGGAAACATTCGGAAATGCCAAAACAAATCGCAACGATAACTCAAGTCGATTCGGCAAATATATGGACATTGAGTTTGATTTCAAAGCAGACCCCGTTGGTGGTGTCATCACAAACTATTTGCTAGAGAAATCGAGAGTTATTCAACAACAATCTGGAGAACGGAATTTTCACAGTTTTTATCAGGTGAAAAAAAATTGATTTTTTCTCGTTTCATATTTTTTTGAAGAAATATGCTCATAATTTTCTTCAATCTCTTCATTGTCATTAAATAGTTGTTGAGAGGATGTTCCGATAATGATTTGAAAAAATATCATTTGGTTCGCGATTATTCAAAGTACAATTACACCAATCAAGGCAGCAACGAGATTTTGTCCGAGAATCAGGACTATAAAGCAACGATGAGTGCATTCCGTACGTTGTGCTTTTCTCCCGACGAAATCTGTTCGGTTTGGCAAATTGTTGCGGCAATTTTACACTTGGGAAATATTACTTTTGAAAGTGAGTTGCAATTTTTACCGCTATTAAATAAAAAAAACCATTTTTGTTTCAAAAGATGAACTGTAAAAACGTCAATTTTTTTTTTGTTCCACACATAGCCGACGAAGAAAATATTGTGATTAAAAACAAAGAGGCATTAAGACATGTGGCCAGTTTGTTGAGAGTGACCGAAGACGAACTTATGAAATCACTGACACAACGCGTTATTGCAGCCCGCGGTGATGTCATGCTGAAAACGCATAATACACAACAAGCTGAATTCGGTCGTGATGCATTGGCAAAGGCAATTTATGATCGTCTATTCACATGGATTATACAACGCATAAATAAATCGATTTTAGTGCCCGGGACCACCGTCCATAAGCGTTTCAACAAAGTGATTGGCGTACTTGATATTTACGGTTTCGAAGTATTCGATTGTAATAGTTTTGAACAGTTTTGCATTAATTATTGCAACGAAAAACTGCAACAACTATTCATTGGTATGTTGCTTATTTATGCTCATTTTAAATGTATATATGAGTAAAAGTTGTTCTTTTGCAGAGCTTGTGTTGAAGCAGGAGCAAGAAGAATATACACGAGAAGGTATAGCATGGACAAACATTGACTACTTTAACAATCAAGTAAGATTGAATTAAATTAATGCACCAAATCAATGAGCAAACTTTGACTGACGAATGTTTTAATTTTACAGATCATTTGCGAATTGGTTGAACAACCTCACAAAGGTATAATCTCGATAATGGACGAAGCATGTTTGACGGTGGGCAAAGTAACTGACGAAACTCTGCTTGAAGCAATGGACAAAAAATTGGCACATCATCCGCATTACACGAGTCGCCAATTAAAACCAATGGACAAGGAATTGAAGCATAAAGTCGATTTCCGTATAACACACTATGCTGGTGACGTAATTTACGATATTAGCGGATTCATTGAGAAAAACAAAGACACATTGTATCAAGATTTCAAGCGATTATTGTTCCATTCAAAAGATACAAATTTGTCAGCGATGTGGCCAGAAGGAGCTCAAGACATAACCAAAACAACAAAACGTCCATTAACTGCTGGTACACTATTCCAAAAATCAATGATCACATTGGTTGATACGCTACAAAATCAAGAACCATTTTATGTGCGCTGCATAAAACCGAACGACAATAAAGTTGCCACACTTTTTGATACGGTTCGCGTTGAGCATCAAGTACGGTATTTGGGATTACTAGAAAATGTTCGTGTGCGACGTGCCGGTTTTGTTCATCGTCAACGATATGATAAATTTTTACTACGCTATAAAATGATAAGCGAGTACACATGGCCCAATTTCCGTGGCACACCAAAAGAGGGTGTGGAAGTTTTAATGGATGTACACAATTTTAAAGACGACGTTGAATTTGGACGCACAAAACTATTTATTAGATCCCCAAAAACGCTATTCGCTTTGGAACGCAAGCGAAACGAAATGATACCGGTTATTGTGACATTTTTACAGAAACAAGTTCGTGGTTGGATTTGTCGTCAACAATACAAACGTATGGTGGCTGCTCTTGTCATCATGAGATGCTATAATCAATTCAAACAAAGGAAATACATCGAAGAATTGGCACAGAAATTCCGGCATGCAAAAAATATGAAAGATTATGGAAAACATATTATTTGGCTACAAGCACCGTTTGCAGCTAGAAAAGCCGAACCTGGACTCAAAATGTTGTTCAATAAATGGCGTGCATCGATGCTTTTGAAGAAATTCCCACGTTCGGAATGGGCACAATTGCGACTACAAGTGATTGCTGCAAGTGCATTGAAACAACGACGCAAATTCTGGGGACAATCACGACGATGGGTGGGCAACTATCTTACAAATCCGACGGAAAATACGAATTATTCACATTACAATGCCAGTATCAATAATATGCGAAATGTGGATAATCATTTTTCAAAAGTACTATTTTCAGCATTTGCAAAAAAATTCAATCATCGCAACAAGAGCGCTGACAGAGCCATTATTTTAACCGAAACAACGATTTACAAATTGGACAGTTATAAAAACAAATTTCGAAATATGTCACGCACCATCGAAATTAAAGATGTACGTAATACTTGTAATTATGTCACTTATGTGAAGTGATGACTGATCAATTTCAATTGAAATTTTTTTTTAAATATTTTTAATATTTGTGGTTTTCAACAGTTATTGGGAATCAGTGTTAGTCCAGGCAGAGACCAATTAATTGTATTCCATTCACCGAAGGAAAATGACTTGGTTGTTGCGCTACAGGCCGAAGACAATGCATTGAAAGAGGACCGAATCGGTGAATTAATTGCACTCGTCGCAAAACGATACTTTGAGTAAGTTAATTCGCACACCGATATTTGACATGAAATATGTACTAATTTATTGATTTTTAACATTAGGATCAATCGAGCCGATATTCCAGTATTTGTTGGATCAACAATTTCATGCAAACTGGGACAAAAGCCACGATCGATAACAATTGAAGGTGTTACCGGAATCGAACAACCACTTTTCAAACATTCCGGTAGTACAATCATTTTCGAAGTTCCATCGTCTTATTGTAATTCAATTTAAAGTAATGAAAAAAAAAAAAGAAAATTGTAAATGGTGTCACATCTAACTAATTCACAACGAATTTTATACTATAAAAAAGTTAGTCATTCAACTACAATTGAAAATACACACACAAATTAATCATATTCAGTACGTTAATTATGTTATACATTTCGAATTAAGTTAATGTATAAATCAGCAACAATTGTATTAATTTAAAAGAAAATAAATAAAGCTAAAACAGATGTGAAGTTAAACGTTTTATATGCATTTTACATTTTTAATTGAATATGTAAATGCCCGTGTACAAAAAAAGTGACTGACTATTTTGGGACAAACTGACTGACTATTGACTGTAAAAACAAGCAACCTTAGTTAAATTTAGTTAACTTCAATCAATTAAAGTAAGCTATGGTTAACTGCAACAGCTAACTATAGTTGACAATAATCATAGTCATCCGGTAGTCAAAACGTCCCAAAATAATCGCCTGACTGACTGAGTAACTATAGTCGATTGTTCAAAAATCATCTCCAATCGTGTTTTCTACATTAAATATGCATAGAAAACATGTTCGTTGCATATCGAAACGCGACTCAAAACGGTTGCATATCAAAGCGAGACAATATTTCGTTACCAAAGGAATAAAGAACATTAACTTTTTATTATACAAAATGTGTAAGTTTCGTTTTGTGCTGATAACTAGCTACTGTTCTGCCTTGTTTTAGTAACAGAATTTTGTTTCGCTTTGATATGCGACGCAGTTTAACGGTATAAATATTTCGCACTTTCGGAGGCTCGGTATAGAACACACAGAAAGTGGAAAAACTTCTTATTCTCAAATCTCATATACGAGGGCTGCTCCATATATTTATAGAATTGGCAATAGTTTAGTGTTGTCCGATACAAACCATTGTCATATTCGTTAAGTTTAACATTTGGTAGCATAAACGATCTCAGAACGTTCTGTCATACGCGCGCTATTTGTATTGTTTACAGTGACATCTAAATGGCGTCTCAACAAAAAAATGAATTTTACTCGTGAAAATTTTCGTGCGATAATTTACTACGACTTTGGATTGGGTGTATCTCAACAGTGTTTTGATCAACTTCATTTGGTCTTTGGCGATAAAGCTCCATGCAAGGCCACTGTATATCAATGGTTTACTGAATTCAATCGTGGTCGTCATTCGCTCATCGGCGAATTCCGTGAAGGTCGTCCAAAATCGGTTGTTGTTCCAGAAACTATCGATGCTGTCAGAAACATGATAAAGCAAGATCGTTATGTAACGATTTTGCATGAACATTTGGCCGTAAAAAAGATTTGCTCTCGTTGGATTCCACATAAATTGACCGATGACCAAAAATTAGCTCGTGTGAAATGGTGCAAAGAAATGCTCAACAAATATAACCGCGGTGCATCATATTCCGTCTATAACATCGTCACAGGCGACGAATCGTTGATATATGCGTATGAGCCCGAAACTAAACAGCAGTCGACAGTATGGGTCTTCCAAAGTGAAGATAATCCAACGAAAGTTGTTCGCGCTCGAAGTTTTGCGAGGCAAATGGTCGCCTGTTTTTTCGCAATTAGTGGACATGTGGCAACAGTTCCACTAGAGGATCGTAGAACAGTCAATTCTGACTGGTACACCACCATTTGTTTGCCAGAAGTGTTTGGTGAATTAAGAAAAAATAACCACCGTCGCAGAATAGTTCTTCTTCATGATAATGCGGGCTCTTACATATCTCATCACACAACTGAATATTTGACCGCTCAAAAGATCGAATTAATGGGTCATCCACCGTACAGTCCTGATTTAGCACCCAACGATTTCATTTTGTTTCCGAGCGTAAAGAAAAAACTGCGTGGTCAACGATTTTCGTCGCCAGAAGAAGCAGTTGATGCGTTCAAAACACACGTTTTGGAGATATCGGTTTCGGAGTGGCATGAATGCTACGGCAAGTGGTTCGAGCGTATGCAAAAGTGTATCGACCATCATGGCGAATACTTTGAAAAACAATAAACCCATTTTTGATAAAAAACGATTGCGTTATATATGCTTTTCTAGAAATATATGGATCAGCCTACGTACAATCAAATTTTTATTGCGCAGTTGTGTGTGTGAATAGAATGTCCGTTGTAAACATTCATACATACAAGGAGGAGCGAGATAGCATTGGACAACGATTTGGGTGACAAAGATGACAAATTTTTATGTTCTGATCACATCACATGATATAGACCATTTAGTGGTGTTCGAGAATTGAGAAAAAAAATCAGATTTTTTTTTCACTTTTTATGCTCTATACCGAGTCTCCGATAGTTTCATATAAACTCGCCGTGCAATAGCCAAATGATGCCTATTGATTCAATCACGATTGGTATTCGCTTACTATTCAATAGGCATCACATAGCAAGTTTATATGAAACTCTCGGAGACTCGGTATAGAGCACTCAAACAGTGAAAAAAAATCTGATTTTTTTCTCAATTCTCGAACACCACTAAATGGTCTATATCATGTGATGTGATCAGAACATAAAAATTTGTCCAGATCGTGATTTAGATGATATGGAATGCGATTTTTTTCATTCTGATTTCACCAGGTGATATAGAAAATTGAGTAGTATTTGAGAATTGAAGAAAAAAAAATTATTATTTTTTTCATTTTTCGCCAATTTTTGCCATCTATGTGGGAAGCTTGTATGAAAAACACGGAAGACCGCTGAAATGACGAATGCAAAATATGTGCAGACGTACGACAGTGCCATTTCAGCGGTCTTCCGTGTTTTTCATACAGGCATTCCCATATAGATGGTAAAAAATCGCAAAAAATGGAAAAAAATAATTAATTTTTTTTTCTTCAATTCTCAAATACTACTCAATTTTCTGTGTCACCTGGTTAACCCTCCTAGGTATAGTAACGGTCTATTAGACCGAAAACTTAGAAAAAATATCATAATATCGGAACGCGTCGACCGATTGCCATCAATTTTTTGCCTTTATGCGAGAATAATGAATAAATATTGAAAATAAAAGAGGTAATGTCAAATGCCTTTATAAAGTCCCTAACGCAGTTTCTTATACTCTTTTACTCACACACAAACAAAACAAAATGTCAAAAAACAGCTGTTCGACCGAACCATTCATAACCAACTTCATGCTACTAGTAGATTCGGAATGAAAATAATGTTTGAAAATTCTATGATATTTCGAAAAATGAACTAATTATTTTGGAATTTTTTAATCTGTTTAGAATAAAATAAATTTTTAAACATTTTTTGTACTAGCAATATTTTAATAAACATTCACTTATTATTTAATTTTCACAATTTCCATCAATTCACAAAATTTAATTCATAGCACTAGCATGAAGTTGGTTATATGTCAACCTTTATTCATTCGTATAAAAACATATTATGTTCACGCACACATAAATGTTGGGGAGTTTTGACAATTCCTCTTTAAAATCCTGCCACTGATCTGTAAAAAAAAATATCCCAGAACGACGATAATCCTAACTTGATCGTATAGTTACGGTCTATTAGACCGTCCATTCAAAATACAGGGAAAAACATACAAAAACAAAACAAAGTCACACTTTTTTTTAATTTTTGTATTTTTCTTTTTTTTAAACACTGAAAGAAGTTTGAATGTTAAAAATAGGAAGGATTTTAAGAAAATTATCAATTTGAATCATCAAAATAATTTTCATAGTAGCGTTTTTTTCGTTGAAAAAAAAAAAATACTTCGTTGAAAAAAATACTTTCTCATGTAAACAAGTATTGAAATACGCGTTCCCGATGGGACTTCTCGACTACTAGAACACTTTGGACCAGGTTTGAGTCCACCTAGTCCACAGGATTCGATTCTGGCAACAACATCTATTACTGTAGGAATCACCGATCGATTTTTCTAATTCTCTTCAAAATATCTCTTAAAATTAAGTGAAGAGGATGCAGGGGTGAGAATTATCAACTTCCAGAACACATTGGACCAAGTCGGATCTACCTATTCCATAGGATACACTTCCAGATCAATTCATCTCACATGATATTATTGATTTTTTCAGCTCTCACTGCGACAATGAGATTTCTTAATCTGGAAGTGCATCCTGTGGAATA